AATGTTTCATCCTTAGAAACGACTTAATTAAGGGGTTTATGTTACTAGGTTTTTATGATTTATTATGTATTTATTATTATGGAGACAGAAAGTTAAAAACATACTTCGGGACATTCTCCATGGAGATAGACAAGTTTTGTACCATATGGTGGAATATTATAGCCAAAGAAACCATAGAGACAGGTCAGGTTTGTGGAGATGCAAGACCTCTCCCAAAAAAACTTACAAAACAAACAAAAGAAAAATAACACATGCTTTTATCTTAGTCTACTTTGTGAATAAAAGGTTACACAGTGAGGTTTGAACAAATTTCATTCATTGTTCATTACAATACCACTTCATGACATCACAAGGTCTAGCAGAACATTTTGAATTGTAGACTAATAATGATGGCAATGAATTTCAGAATTTTTAGAAGATAATACTGAATTTGAAAAGGTGTATTCATGGAAATTAGAATTAATGTTTTAAAAGTTTAATATGATGAATTGGATTGTGGTTATTTTAAGGAGACACTGTGACTCATGAAATCTTGTTGTTAGAAATGGTTTAATGTAAATAGTTTCTTTAATGTTTTCTGTGCACTGTCCTTGTTTTAAATAAATAAATCATTTGGATGATTTCAACACGAATTGCAAATCTCTACTGAATTAAAGGTAAAAAACAACTTGAAAACTACCGCCTCGTGACACCACAAACTTCAACAGAGCATTTTGAGCTTTGGAGATGTAGACAGACTAATAAAAAAAGGTTATTCAAACACGTGTGAATGAAACAAAACACAACTCCAGGACTGTTTTTGAAGAGGAACAACATTCTAACATGGCTTAACGCTCACAAAAGTCCGTTTTCTGAAACACTGGACTAGTCACGATTCTTTTAAATTGTACAGCTCTACTTCACACAAACTTGTCTTTTATAACAAATGAAAAGAAAAGTGGCAAATGACTCAACGAAGCACTAGAATTATCTCTGACTCAACTTCGACTGGAACTTCACCAGCCTTCACGAGACTGCACTTTGTATCCATGGTAACCCGCTTTCTTACACTTTCTTACACTTTCGGACCCTGCTCTAGAAACGTTACGCGGTGCACTTTGAACAATACTGGGCTATAGAATGGTGTGACGTCATCTGAAACTCGACCCAGACAGCAATAATGCCTCTTTTATTCTTTCTTTCTTCTCTTTCCATGTTGTGATGTCCATTCTAATTGAACACAGTGAAGTTGGCCACACACTGTAGAATGCCTCGATCATTTACATTACAACGGTGACTCAGAGAATTCCTCCACGAACTACCCATCACGCAGTCACTGGAGAGGTCCCGGGTATGTGACAGATTCTGGGCGTGGGGCTGAGGTCATCGGCCCGACCGTGGCGACTGCCCTTTAGCAAGACACTAACAAAAACGACGAAGCGAGGCAAGAAGGGGCAGGACGAGACACAAGACTGAATCTACAAAAATGAGACAAGATGAGATTTTGACATTATTTCCTCTAAATTTATTGTGTAATCAAGTTCCTTTATTTTATTTTTCACTGTTTTTGATTTGACTTGATTTATTAGTTTTGCTGTAGCACTGCTTTTTGTGCATCTCAAAAAATGTATCTCGCCAGTACTTCACTTTTTATCCAATCCAAACCTAAAAACACGGGATCATTTTTCTCATGTGTGCACAGTCTCGCACAGTCAATTTTGTCTCGTGGGGTTTTATGACATGACATCTTGAAAGTGAAGTTTATCTATTCAAGGTGAGGTTTTGATAAGATGAAAAGTACAGGGGGCATTGGTTCAATTAGTGACAGCAGACAAGGAAGAGATCTCAAGATAAAAGTAATAAACAAAACTACGTGCCACTATGGTCATGAAGTGTGCTAAATGAAGTTGTAAGATAACTTAGTAGTAACTGTTAAAGGGACAGTTCAATATTTTGGACATAGGACCTCATTTCCTAGTGAGCCAGAGTGTTGGAGACGTGTGGAGACACTTTTTAAAATATTCCATCCAGTCCTTGTATTTGCAGAGGTCGTGGGTGCTAGGCTAGTGCATGTCAATGGCCATAGTTATCCTGCCACTAAAAACAGTCTTACCCACTCCACAAAACACCCAAAGCAAAACAGTTATTACGACAGACTGTCCATGTAAATGTCTGTGTTGATAGAATAATGTTTGAAATAAAACTAATCTTGCATCACATGAATCGTCGCATGTTGAGGCACTATTTTCTCATATATCAGTCCGCCACTGCCAAGCTTTCTATTATGAAATACAACTCACTGCTGTTGCTCAGACATAAATCCTTTAAATGCAAGGTTAGTTTCATTTCAAACATTATTCTATCGACACAGACATTCATATCAACAGTCTGTGTTATAATTGTTTTGCTTTGAGTGTTTTGTTTAGTGGGTAAGACACTTTTTAGTGGCAGGCTAACTATGGCCATTGACATGCACTAGCCTAGCACCAGCGACCTCTGCAAATACAAGGACTGGATGGATTATTTTAAAAAGTGTCTCCACACGTCTCCAACACTCCAGCTCACAAGAAAATATGATCCTATGTCCAAAATTCAGGACTGTCCCTTTAATAATCAGTAGATTACCAAGTTTTTATAAAAATATATAGGATGTAGCCCTTTCAAAGTACTTGTTTTTGTCTCCAGGATGATGTTATTGTTTTGCCTGCATCTGGAATTCAGCAGTATGGCATTAAGCTCATGTTCCTACACAGAGACAAGAAAGTTACCAGTCAAATCTGTGGAGAAGCAAACCCGCTCTAAGTCAGAATGCATGGTTTTTGAAGTTTGATACTACTACTTGATACTCAATACCGATTCCCATACCACAATGACTCTTCTTCTTTCTTTAGACAACAGAATGTGATTTTTAACATTAAATCGTAATATTTTCTTTTATATTCCCATGTGGTCTTATATCTGTGGTCCAGGTAGGTTCCATAGTGGTCCATGGGTGTTTACTAGTCTCTGTGCTCTTATACTTGTTCTGATACAGCTCAAGATCATTCTAAAACTGTTCAGGAAAGCTTCATTTCTGTTTTAAATGTGACTTTTTCAGTATCGATACCTGCTCAGATGAGGAACTACTATCTACATCATGCAAACAAGCAGGTGGCAGAAAAGTTACACAGTGCGCTTTACCATGGAACTGAATGAACAAAAGGTTGAGTCAGACTTGTGACTCCTGCTGAAAGTTCAGATTTGTCATAGTTTCTTAGTAAAGACCTTGAGAGACTTCCTGAAGCTTGATAAGTTACTAATTGTCAAAATAAGGAATGCATTCACAGTCCAAAGGGCCCAGAGCCAGCCAGTCTTATGCTACAATTTGAGCGATCTGCAGAAGGCTTGGATAATTCTCCCTATGAATGCACTGATAGTTTTCATTCCAAGTACTAGAATAGGGCTTGAGCATAAATCTAACCCACAACTTCCTGTCATCATGCAATAAGTGTATTAAAGGCCCTATATTACGCAAAACTGACTCATGTGAACTTTTAGTCATATTGGAATGTTGTTACCTCCTCAAAAACAAACCCAGAGTTGTGTTTCATTTCAATCACACATGTCTGAGTAACCCTTTACTATTAGTCTGTCTACATCTCCAAAGCTCAAAATGCTCTGATCCAACTTGTGATGTCATGAAGCAGAAGTTTAATTTAACGCTACCTTTAATTTTTTGTTTAGTAGATTAGTACATTGGTAATTCCCGGTCTGAAACTGATTCTAGTGAAGGTGCGTGGAGTTTAAGAACACAGTGGAGCACTTCCTGTATTACCATGTGACATCACAAGGTGGAACACAGTGTTTTCCGTTTGACTGTAGCTACATTTGCAACTATGATCATCTTTTGATTCATTGTTTTAGTCCTTCCATTTCTACTTCAGTGCAAGTTATTTACTCACATTTAGAGTTGTCGAAAGTATCGCAAAGATACTAAAATAAGTACTGAAACTAGATACTCATTTGAGGAGATACCGAAACTAAAAAAAAAAAAGTCCCACTGACACAACAGAAATGAAGCTTACACAGATATAAGACCACATGGGAATAGAAAAGAAAGTACGACTTAATGTTCAAAATCATGATGGATGATTTCGGCCCTCGAAATGTTTATCTCTACTCAATTAAAGGTAAAAAGTAGCTAGAAAGCTACCACTTCCATGACATCACAAGGTGGAACAGTGTTTTCTGTTTGAGAGAAGAACATACTGTAGCTACAACAGTTGCAACTATGGTCATCTTTTGATTCACTGTATATGTTTTAGTTCTTCCATTTGTATGTCAGTGCAAGTTATTTATGCACATTTAGAGTTGTCGAAAGTATCGCAAAGACACTAAAACAAATATCAAAAGGCCCTGGAATTGTCTGTCTCTACTGAATTAAGGTAAAAAGTAGCTGTTAGAAAACTACCACTACATGACATCACAAGGTGGAACAGAGAGAAGAACAGACTGTAGCTACAACAGTTGCAATGCTCAGTTTTTGATTCATTGAAACATTTTAGTTCTTCCACTTCTACTTCAGTGCAAGTTATTTACTCAGTATCATAAAGATACTAAAACAAGTTTCGAAACTAGATATTCATTTGAGCTAAAAAAGTCACACTGACAGGACGGAAATGAACCTTACACAGATATAAGACCACATGGGAATAGAAAAGAAAGTATTATGACTTAATGTTGAAAATCATTTGGAAGATTTCAGCCCTGCAAGTGTTTATTTCTACTAAATTAAGGTAAAAGGTGGCTAGAAAACTACCACTACATGACATCACAAGGTGGAACTGAGCATTTTGAGCTTTGGAGACTAATAATAAAGAATTACTCAAACAAAACACAACTCCACGTCTGTTTTGAAGACTTCTAGCACGTCTTGAAGCTCTCAAGAGTCATTTTTGCGTCTCTTACTTTCCTTCCGACTCATATTTTTCTGCAAAATGATTAAAATCTTTCCCAAATCTTCCGTAGTAATTCTCCATTACCTTGTAGCTGTTTAAACCTCCCTTCGAGCTGGTTGTAGTTGAACGCCGCTTGACCGGAGTAACTCGGTCCCGGACTTGCCCCCCTGATTGGGCTCCTGCTGGGGCTAGAACCTCGACCTGGACTGCCCCTGTGAGAAGGTCCTGGAAGTCCGCTGGGGGATACGGCTCCGGCGTAGTCCGAAGACGGGGACAGGGGACCGGGCGAAAGCGGACCCGGTAACCCTGCCGTAGTTGCGCTCTGAAACTCCATGGTGTACAACTCCTGCGCTTACGATTCTGAAATTGTCCGAAGACGCATTGAGGAGTCTGAGAGGTAATCCTGGAATGATTTGTCAATAAAAAGTGAAAAATTCCTGAGTTGAAAGTGCAAAGAAATTGGAATTTTCAGAGCAGCTGTAGTTGCAGTCTTCCCACTCCCATCCGATGCAGGCTTGGAACACAGTGTAGCCTTCTCTCCTTTGGCCAATTTGGACGCTCAAACGCTAACTCAGCACTGGCGATGTGACGGCTTGTGTATCATCGTGAAAAAATAAAAAAATTAAAGCTCCCCGGCGCATCCGAGCATCCAGCCTCGTTGCCACCTAGCAACCGGCCATGCTTTTTTTTTTTTGTAATTCCAGGGAACGCCGATCTCTACCCGAGCCAGACGCAGCGCACGCAGAATGGAAAGAATAGAGCCGGGGAAGTGTGGATGGAGGGAGAGAAAGGGAGGGAGGTAGATACAGAGAGAGAGAGAGGGAGGGCTGGTCGGTCGGTCGCTCGCTCACTCGGCGGTGTGTGTGAGAGCGTGTGTGAGAGCGTGTGAGAGTGTGTGAGAGGCAGCGGCAGAAACAGACACAGAGGAGCACCTTTCAGACGGGAGGCAGGGCCCGGCGGGGGGAGGGGCCTGGCCGGGCTGGGGGGCGGGCGGCCAATGGGAGCGCGGGGACGCCGGGGGTGATGTCATAGGGGGCGGGGCGGGCGGGAGGGAGGGAGAGAGTGGGGGTGTGTGAGAGCGGGGCAGCTGGAGGGACAGGCGGTGTGTGTTCACGCAGTCACACACACACACACAGAGAGAGAGAGAGAGAGGCTGTGCAGAGTGTAGGAAGGGGCTGGATGAATGACAGAAGTGCACGGTGAAGGAAGTTTGAGAGCTAAAACAAACTAAATAAAGAAATAGAAATATAACACATGGTTTAGTATCATTGCAAAGGATTCTTAGTTGTAAAATAGCATCTTTAAGTGTTTCGAAAAGTGATATATAGACTATTTAAAAACTGTAAACAAAAACATTTAAATTCCAGAAAGGAGGCAGCTGGAGGCAAAAATGAAGTGGAATAATAATGTGATTTCAGTGCGAAAACTGGGATTAATTTCAGAATGTCACAAAATATGAAAAATCAAGGGAAATTTGACAATGAAAACCACTCAGACACATGAGTGATATCAAATCCTGGTTTTAAAAACATTTACAATGGTGTTTCAAGTTATTTGTTCACAGAAGATATTGATATGAATGATAGACAGTTTTGAAAAAAGAAAAATACAGATTTGTAAGTTTTACTTGACAAATCCTCACAGAAAAATTAAGTCTGCTACAGTTTGTCACTTCATCTACAGATATTACACATTTCATCATTAATTATACTTTTTGTGAAGCTCAAATACAACCTTGAGCTAAAAATGTGTATTTTTCCATCCTTAACAGAAGCAAATTAACTAATTCAAAATTGTTGTTTATTTTTTGTTATAATGTCATAAACCACAATCATTTAGATCTGCTCATCAGTTAAGCACTGAAAAAATATTCGCTCTGCTTCACGTTGGCTCCAGCTGCCTCCATTCCAGCATTTGGAACATTCAGATGACATAAGATTTTAAAGGTTCTATAAATAAAATGTTAAAAAAAAATCTTAAAATACATTTTTTATAAAAGGAAGTTGGAGGACTAAAACAAGCTAAATGTAAGTCATGTTTTATTATTATTGCAGAGGATTCTTATGCATAAAATTGTGTTTATGTGTTTAGAGGAGTGCTATATAGAAAATATTGTAAATTGTAAACACAAACATTTAAATTCCAGAATGGAGGCAGCCGGAGGCAAAAGTGAAGTGAAATAATAATGTGATTTCAGTGGGAAAACTGGGATTAATTTCAGAATATCACAAAATATGAAAAATCAAGGGAAATTTGGCAAATGAAAACCACTCAGGCACATGTGAGTGATAACAGAGCCCAGTTTAAATAGTGTATTACATGATTTGTTAACATAAGAGATTATCATACACACTACACATTTATGAAAAAGGAAAAACCCAGATTTTTAAGTTTCACTGGCCAAATCCTCACAGAAAAACTGTTCCTCCACAAAAGTTTGTCATTTAATACAGATATATTACACAATTCACTATAAATTAAACTTTCTGTGAAGCTCAAAAACAACTTTGAGTATTTGTGAATTTTTCCATCCGCCTTAACAGAGAAGCAAATTAACTCAAATGTGTAGCTTGAAAATTTAAAATTGTTGTTTATTTTTTGTTATAATGTCATAAACCACAATCATTTAGATCTGCTCATCAGTTAATAACTGAAAAAATATTCTGTCTGCTTCACTTTAACTCCAGCTGCCTCCATTCCAGCATTTGGAACATTCAGATGACATACAATTTAAAAGGGTCTATAAAAAAGGTTAAACTAAATTTGTAAAATACATGTTTTACTAAATGTAAACCATGTTTTATTATCATTGCACAAGGTTCTTATGGGTAAAATAGCATCTTTGAGTGTTTAGAAAAGTACTATATAATCTAAAGGGAAAAAAGTATTAAAAAATTACTTAAAAAAAAAAATAATAATGATTCATTAATAAAATGTTATATGTATTTGTATTATGTATGGCGAAATTTAATCACATTTTTGCTTAAAACATTGTTATGGTAAAAATCTAAACGCTGATTACACTGAGATCCAGAATGAGTTTTGGACATTTATTATCAAACAAACAGCGATCACGGCGCAGCAAAGAGGATGGATGGGATCAGTTGTAATTTTTATTGCCCGCCACTACTCTCTGTGTTTCGTTTTTCCAAGTACCCAGCCCTGACCTTCAACCAAACTGAGTCACAGGTACATGCACACTTTTACACTTTTACACACAAGTGTACGCAAACCTGCCCACGTGAGCCCCGCCCCCTCTGCACCGGAGCGACACACCCACACCCTCAACCAGACACACACTACACCAGTCCTGCCTGCTACACTGAAAGTATCAAGAGTTAAGCATTGGAGCAAGAAGAAGAGAACTGTTCCAAAGTTTGCAATGAAAGTTAGCAATTCTTTTAAGGACATTGTTGCCTTTTAGTCCCTTTACAACTCAAACTTTCCCTGAAGAAGATCCATTTGGTTGAAACACAGACATCCATTTTTGGAAATAAAGGACTTTTATACAGCTGGTCAGTATGCCTCGGCTCCTTGTGCCAACCTGGCTTTCTCTCTTAGCAATGAACAATTTGAAGCTAGGAATGGACATGATGTGAATACTATGCCACACATGAGATTTCAATTGAGCTTTTTGATAAGTAGACCAAAATCTTTAAAAGTACAGCATGTAACTTTTGAAGGTAGAATATCACTTGTACAATTCCATGGAGACAGAAAGTTAAAACAAGGGGTCTCCAACCTTTTCCCTTTGGTGAGCTACCTTTACAAAATGAAAATGCCAGAGAGCTGCTCATTTCTGCAACTGCAAGAAATTGAGTCGATATAAGAGGGCAAGGCTTAAATGGTGCAGTTACAGCCTATAAAACATAAAACCATTATCCATTTATCTGTGCACAAAGTTCAAAATAACACATTTACAATGGTAATGAATGTAATTAGACTTATTCAGTACAATACACACAGTATAATTCAGAAATCCACTGGCCAGCTACTTGTAAAGAGGTGAAGAGCTACAGGTAGGAAAACCAAACTTCAAATTATTATCCATGGAAATAGATACGTTTTACATCGTTCTGTGGAAGATTAGAGCCAAAGAAACAACATTTCCATCGAGACGAGCAGCAGCAGCAAACCCTTCTCCAGGCCAAATAAGAGCCAGGTTTGTGGAGATGCGAGCAAGCTCATCATTCACAGTAGGATACATGTTTTTGAGAGCATTAAAATGAAACACAAAGCATGTTTTTATCTTATTTAAGTAGATTTTTGGCTAAAAGGTTACACACAGTGACTTTAACAACAGCTGGTAACATCTGGACTGCAGATGGAAACTACGCATCTATTTAGTTATAATCTGATCTGAACATCTGTTTTTCTGATCCTAATATCGTACAGTGTCTCTTCAAATAAAGTCTAAACTATGGCAGTGAACAGTCCTTAAGCGAGAGCCACAACGTCAAGAGAAATGCCAAGACCTGTTGATACATAAACAGCAGAAGTTGGACTCTCAAGTTTCACACTGTGAGAGAAAACACAAGACGAGACACAAGGGCTGCGTCTCTATTGTTTCTTTCCGTCCTCGATCCTCCATTTTTCAACTGTCCATCAAATGTGTCATATGAAGTGGTGCCCCAAAGAAAACCACTGAAGGAAGTAGTAAACATGAGGGAGTTTTCAGGAGCAGACTTCAAAGAAAAGAATCAAACTTTACTGGTCTCGGTGTGGAGTTTATATCCTCTCTCCTCGCTTTGGCTACTCTGTGGGCGGGACTTCCTCACACATTTCCTCCAGAATCGAGGAGAAGGAAGCGAGGAAAGAGAAATGATTTGCGTCCATAGGCTCTAATCCCACTTAAGTTTAATGAATGTGGAACAGCAGCAGAAAATTCACATATTTCCCACGCGAGGACATGGGTTTTGGTATGAAAGCCTCATTCAGCCTGAGCGCATCATGTGAAAACTCATTGTGTTTATGCAGTTCTAACAGACAGAGCGACTATTTTACCTCACCAAACCCATATCGGCCACAAAGCCAGACCTGCCACCATGACGAATTTGAATACAGTATTTTCCGCACTATAGGGCACACTTAAAAGCCTTTAATTTCATCAAAAACCAACTGTGCACCTTATAATCCTCCTTATATATGAATTTATTCAGGCGTCTTAGTACGACTTTAGTAAACTACAAAGCCGCACCACTTGCAGCATTACGACTCCCGTATTCAGGAGCATCACGGAGTAATACATACTGTGATTCCTTTTAATATCAAAATGCACCTGTCAAGAAACACGCTTATAACGCCCACTTTAAACTCAAGGCCGTTATAAAGTTAAACTGTGAGCTGTGTGGGAGCAGTAGACGAGAGAAGGAGAACACACGATCTGCCAACGGATCGTGGACGTCTGATCAGGATCAGTATCAACTGTGGTCCGAGCTTTCACCAAGACCAGAATCATCACTGAACTGCAGGGAACAGTAACCACACTGACTCGGATCATGACAAGAGGGATGAGGCCCTGCTGGACGCTGTAATCAACCAACTGTTTGAACATTTATGAGTTATTGTGAATACACCAACAATTTAGCCTCTCAGACAGTTTTTTTACACGTTACAACTGACCAAAGTTGAGAGTTATTGTGAACGTGTTAAATAAAGTTTGACTGACTTATCTAACTGTTGTGTTTCGTTTAATGCACCTTATAATCCGGTGTGGTTTATATGTGAAAAAAGTTTGAAAATAGACCATTCAATGACAGTGCGCCTTATAATCCAGGGCCCCTATAGTGTGGAAAATACGGTAATAATTAGGGATGTAATGATATTCAAATCTCTCAGTACAATATTTTCACAATAACCATCTCATTATGAAAAAAAACTCAAAAAAAAACCCAAA